ACACCGGCCGCTCTAAGCTCCCAGCAATATACTACCGCCCTCCTACAAACCTATCGTTACGTCGTCGTGGTTATAACATGGAGAGAGTTATAGCGCGACCCGTCGCGCTCTAGGATACCGCGCGCGAATCAGCCCCACACGACATGTCCCTCCCCGCGCCTGTCCTTTCCATTTTCAAAATAACGAGCAACATGCAAATGTCAGACCCCAGCCCCGAGCGCATGTCGCTCCACCGCCCTTGTCCTTTGCAAATGTCACTTTCATCATGACGTCACCCTGATGCAGGTTAAGCAAACCCAAAACATTTATTTTAACTTCCTATAACTTTTAAAAGGTGTATCCGTTTTTCATTTCGTCTACACTGTTATGTTCTACGTGACAAGATAAATAAAACTAGACTCCACTTATATCTATTTTAAAGAATTTTATTCTAGTAGCAATTTATATCTAATATGTGCTAGGACAATTATCAGAGTTGCTACCATGTAATACTAAAGTTGTTACTAAAAGATCTTAATGCATTTATGGGTGGTATAGTACTGAAATCTTACATTCAAAGACAAGTATTCTCCAAAATACATGACAACTTTCTCATTGATAACATATTTAACTAGAATTAAAGAAGCAATTTTTAAAAATAAAATATTTAAAAACAGGAAAATTTGAAGAACAACTAACAGGTACGATTTAGGAAGGTAGTTGAATCTGAAAGGGTGACTGAAAAAATGAAACTCATAACTCATTAAACTGAAACTAAAAGAAACAATGAAACAAAAACCTAATATATAGGATTTAGGAAGGCATTTGAACCTGAAAGAGAAACTGAAACACAAAAACTGAAAAAATGAAACTCAAAACTCAGTAAACTGAGTGGTTGACTGAAAACTAAAAGGAGCATTTAAACAAAAAATGTCAATATTTAAAAGCAGAAAATATTGAAGAAAAACTATTACGTAGGAATGAAGACGACATTTGAAACTAATAGGGAAAAATAAAACTCAAAACTCATTAAAATGAAAGGATAACTGAAAAATAAAACCCATAACTCCTTGAACAGAAAATAATGAAAAGAAATGAGACGAAAAGCTACACAAAAATTGAAAACTAATATGTAGGATTTAGGAAGGCATTCGAAACTGAAAGGGAAACTGAAACACAAGAACTAGAAGAAAAAAAAGAAACAAATAACTCATTAAACTAGAAGGAATAATGAAAAATGAAACTTATAACTCATTAAACTGAAACTAAAAACACTATAAACTGCATGACCTTGTGTATTGTAAGTTTAATTTCAAAGCATAGCAAGTTATATTCGAACAATTGACAAGTTATTTTGATTAGCCCTAGCCTTGCACGTGAAGTCCACAGGCCTGCCTCTCCTGCACATGGGCCGGCCTTTCATTTCCTTTTGTATGTGGGCTACATGCCTTGGCCCTTGCCTCTCGCACGAAGGCACACAGGCCAGGCCGCACCTTCCACTCAAAAATAATAAAAGAAGGCCAGGCCGCCAGGCTAGTCGTACGTAGGTCGGGCCAGCGAGTCGTGCGCTGCCTCAGGAGCGCGACCAGTCGCGTGTAAACTTTTGCGTTACAACGTCAGCCTCCCTCTCGTATCTATCGTATACTGCCAAATACAACTTAGACTTCGAGCGTAACAAAACTTGTGCATAATATTCGATACATATTCTAATAGCATGTTTTAAAGAACTCTACAGGTGAAGCTGTTTTGCCAAACAATTTATCAAAACGGCTCTAGCTCCAGCCACGAAACTGTTCATAGAGCTGAAGGAAAAGAAAAACTTCACTATTGAAGTGGAATCGTGCCAAAAAGGACTACGCCACTCTAGTCCATTGGACGTCCTAACCGCAAATTACCTTGTGGACTAGTAGCTAGGAACATCAATCGTGAATGAGCAGTTAAATATCTCAATCAAAGAAATCATCCTTGTTCCTCGAAAGCAAAACGAATAATATCGCACATCCCGAAGGCAGAAGTAGAGCGCTGCATCGATCGCCTCATTCACCCATAGGCATGCATGGGATCGACTCCACTCCAAAGCACAGGTTGCTAGCTCGATCCAGCACCCACAGTGCGTGCCTGTCGTTAGCAGCACGCATAATCTGGAAAATCGCGGATCCCCTGGACATGCTACGGCACGAGTTTCAAGCTCTAGAATCCAGATATATCTACAGTATATAGCAATATATGACAAGGCACCACCTCTGCATCTCGCGCGGAGTTCATCGGCGGACGGCAGCTCGAGAGCCGTGCATGCGCATGGGCTTTCTCAATGATCATACTACTCGTATATGGCTATGCATGCCTGAGACTGACCCCTATGCGGTTCCACGTGTCTATCATGCTCATCTGATCTAGCCTATTTGTATTATTCGGCCTGTTTGGTGGTTGGTTTCTATACTGATAAGCTCGGCTGATACTGATTTGTTGTGAGAGAAAAATACTGTTGGCTTGCTAATAAGCCCTGGCAGAAACCAACATGCGAATTGTGCCCACTGCCCATGACCAAGAGCATTCTACATCCCAACTTGAGGCCTGTTCGACTGGTAATAAAGTTAAATCTATTTTGTTATGAGAAAAAAATATTGTAGCTAGCTGATAAATTCAAGCGAACATGCATTTAGTCTGCATCTCTATGCTAGGACGCAGCAGGGAGCTAGCGGCTGCCGGCGTGGCGGCGTCCCGTCTCAATTCTGCTTCTGCCCCGGCCCGCCAAAGAGTTGGTTGGGTCTCTCTCTCTCTCTGTAGTTTAGCCTGTACGTAGGTGCTACCTGCTCTGACTCCAATCATGGAGCAAAGCCGCGCTACCGAACCTTCCTTTACGGTCTTGCAGGCAGCATGTGTGCCATTTAAATGCCTGAATGCCACACCTGACAGCGTTGTTTCACCAAAGCACGCGTGCATATATATCAGCATATGCATGTGCTGCTTGCGTGATTTTGTGACAAGAATTTGCTAATTCCTAATTTAATCAAATTGGGCCGCTTGCGTGATTCTGCGACAAGCATTCGCTAATTCCTCTCTGAAAGCGCAATTCATCGTCAGAAAAACGCATTAGCGGAGCCAGAAGTCTGTAGAAGCTCGGGCAATTCTTATTATGCAAATATATTTAGGTAGAAAATTACAGAGTTTAACTTTGTTATAAAGAAATTTCTCTTGATCGAACTTCAGCACTGAGCTCGGCCAGCCGCCCGGGGTGGCCGGGCGGTGGCTCCGCCACCGGAAAAACGGCAGAAGCAAGAACATGCGTGTTTACAGGCATAGATAAAATAAATTTGTGATAACTCGTCCTTGCAACATCGGCAAATGGGGACATCCCGGCAATATTTGGTATGCTATAGTATCAGATGATAGAGCTGGAGCCGGAGGAGCCACAAAATATAGCTTCTTTGGTCTTCCGGTTCATTTCGTGAGGACTGAGGAGAGAGAAAAAAAAATACTGTTGCACAGTGAGCCTCTGAGTCATAAGAAGTTATACTAAACAAACAATAGTTTGTAATTTAACCTATGCTATCAAATCAGTTCTCCTTGGATTTTCAATCAAGTACTCCATCAATTCTAAATCATAACACGTTTTGCCTTATTTATAAATATATTATTTTTATTATATATCTAGATATACTGTATTTCTCCAACCTAACACATATATCGGTAACTAAATTAGTGCACAATAATTTGTTAGGTGAACCTTGCTAGTCCGATGCACAGCAAAAACTTCTGGCTTTGGTGGGAACAGCTACCTTTTTTTTGAAAGATCTGGTTGCCCAGCTTTGATTTATAATAAGTAGAGGAGATAGCAACAGTTATTACATGCGCGAGTGGCGCTACTCCCTGCAGCCTAAGCTACCTGGAGTTTGAAAAAAACAATGTCGTTATTACATAGCATCGTTTTGTACAACAAAAAGGGACTTTAGGAAGGTGCCCCCCCGCCCCCCCACCCCATGGACCATAGCTGACATGCATCTTTAATCTCCGCAAACAAGGCATGTTCAGGCTTCGCATTCTCTCTGAAGACTCTTGCATTCCTCTGCTTAAATATGCTCCAGAGGGTTAGGGTTCTCAGACTGTGGCCAACGCCAGTCGTCACCACCTGCTCAAGCCATGCTTCCAGATCCTGTGCCTGAAGCCACTGTGCAGGGTTCAAATTTGGACAGCCACTCCAAGTTGATACTAGCACCCAGACCCGTCGGGAGTAAGGGCATTCGATAAACAGATGGTGGGCAGTCTCAAGATTTCTTTCACACAAGGCGCAGAAGTAATCGCTCTCCCATCCGCGCAATTGCAGCCTCACTGACGTCCACAATCTGTTCTGGAGGAGCAGCCACAAGAAGAACTTGCAACTTGGAGGTGCCCATGACTAATTGGAGAGGTATTGGCCTTCGAATTGAATTTTATAGGCTGACTTTGCAGAATACTTCCCGGAGCTCTCAAGAGTCCATGTTATGGTGTCTTCTATATCATCTTCAAGGTATAAATGGGCTACGTCGATGGCTCTCCAAAGTTTGAAAAATTCATCCAACAGTGGTTGCGTCAGGCTATGAGCGATGTCTCCAATCCAACATCCGCCCACAATTGCATCTCTGACCGATCTGTTCTTGCGTCGGCTGTGGCTGTAAAGGAGTGGGCATAGCTTTGACGGAGCCTGGCCATTTAACCAGCTGGAGAGCCAGAAGGATGCTTTCCTCCCATTGTGGACGGTTACCGTTGTGGCAGCGTTGAAGAGGCTAATGTCCACCGAGTCGACCGGTAGTTCTGTCCCGTTCCACGGCCGTTCGGGGTTGGTCCAATTGAACCACAGCCACCTTAGGCGCAGTGCTCTGCTGAAGCGTTCCAAATCCAAAATGCCTAGGCCTCCAAACTCAGTCGTCCGCGCCACCAGCGCCCACGCCACTTTGCACTTGCCGCTCGTCAGCTCGCTGTCACCTGCCCATAAGAACCGCCGCCGTGCTATGTCGATTTCCTGAAAAAACTGTTTTGGCACCTTAAGGGCGGTCAACAGATAGGTCAGGATTGAGCTCAGGACTGATCTGACCAGTTCCCTTCTGCCTGCTATATTTAGGAGCTTCCCTTGCCATCCTGCCAGTCTCGATCTTGAATTGTCCACCACCCTTTGGAAGTGTACCACCTTTAATCGGCCGAGGGTTAATGGCAATCCCAAGTATGTTAGTGGGAACCCCACTCTTCTTCCAGCAAATGTCTCCAGAATCTGATCCAAGTTTAGCTCCGAGCATCTTATCGGTGCAACCATGCATTTCTCCAGATTCAGCTTAAGTCCGGTGGCTTCCCCAAAGTTACCCAAGATCGAGAACAGAGCTGTAACCTCAGACTGAATGGGATTGATGAAGATGACCGCATCGTCAGCATACAGGGAGAGACGTAGCCTCGCATGCCGCCCTCGTAGTGAGCGATTTCTAGCACTTTCTGTAGCGTGTCAATGGCCAGAATGAAAGTATGGGGAGAGCGGGTCACCTTGCCGAAGGCCGCGTGCGTGTTTGATTCTTTTGCCGGCCACGCCATTTATCAGTACCTTCGAGTGTGATGTTTTGAACAATGTGGCTAGCCATTCTCTCCATCTGCTGCTGAAAGTCTGAAACCCCGGTGTTCCAGAAGTTCTAACATGTACTCCCAAGATACAGTATCGAAGGCCTTGGAGATATCAAGTTTAAAAAGGAGGGCTGGTGTCTTAGTCCGGTGATATGCTCTGGTCAGGTTCCTTACATACAGGAAGTTATTTTGAATGAACTGATGCTTTATGAAGGCACTCTGGGAATTCGAGACCAAGGACTGAATTTGAGATGACAGCCTCCTCGAGATCATCTTTGTGATTAGCTTGGCGAAGGAGTGGATCAAACTGATAGGCCTGAATTCCTTTAGTTGCTCCGCCGTCTCTGTTTTCGGGATCAAAACAATGATTGCATCATTTAGAGCGTCGAGCGGTCCAGTTCAGGCCATGAAAGCCTGCCATGGCAGCTAGCAGGTCATACTTAATGATTTCCCAACATTTCTTATAAAAACCACCTGTGAATCCATCCGGCCCTGGGGCTTTCTCCGTGGGGAGGTCATCAACTGCATCTTTGATTTCCTCCAGGGAGAAGGGTTGGTCAAGGTTGTCGTCATCAATTTGCCCTAGCTCCATGCTATCCCAGTCCAAAGTGTGGCGCCTGTTCAGCTTGGTCCCCAGCACTGTTTGGAAGTAGCAGTAGGCTAGCTGCTCCTTGTCTGCATGCTTCCAAATAAATTCGCCTTCATCATTCCTCAGATAGGCAATTAGATTCCGCCTCCGTCGACCGTTTGCCTTCTGGTGGAAAAACTTAGTGCAGGCATCCCCTCTTTTAAGTTAAGAACTCTTGAACTCTGCCGACGACGCGCTCTCTCAATCGCTGCCCATCCCATGACATGGTGCTTGAGTTCTCGCTGCAGCTCTATCTCTGCATCTGATAGTACTCTTGACTCCTAGGCAATGTCCAATCGCATGATCACCTCGTTTGCCATGTGAAGTTGTAGACGGGCGTCACTGAAGAGGGATCTACTCCAACTCAGTGGTGATTTCTTTGTGTTCTGTAACCGGTTATGGAGTATCATAAGTGGCGAGGTCCCACGCACCGGCATCGACCATGCAGCCTGCACAATTTCGAGGAAGCCAGGCACTCGGGTCCAGAAGTGCTCAAACCTGAAGACTGCCATTCTGTGCGGTTGCTGCAGATTGCATAGGAAGAGGAGGCAATGATCTGACAAGGAGCTAGATAGCGGCTGCAGGTTGACGCCGATGAAAATGTCAGCCCACTCCTTGTTGCAGAAAAACCGATCAAGGTAGACCAAAGTGGGGTTCCTTTGTCCATTGCTCCACGTATATTTTCTGTTCTGAATTATTTTCTCTATTAGTTCGCTAGCATCCAAGGCTTGTCTGAACTTCCTCATCTGTGCTCAGTTGAGGTTGGTGTTGTTTTTGTCCCTGGCTTCACAAGTTAAAGTCACCTAAGCAAATCCATGGCACTGCTACTGCTGGTTGTGATGCAATTAACTCCACCAGAAAATCATCCTTTTCAGCATGATTTGTCGGCCCGTATACTGCTATGATGGTGAACGCAGTATTGGTTTGCCTCAATGTGATCTCCACTGATAGACAGTAGCTCTTACAGTCTACTGCAGCTCCACTAACAAAGTCCTGATCCCAAGCGATCAGAACCCCTCCTCTCGTGTCATCCGCCGACAAGTATTCAAAGTTGGAGCTGAACTTCGGCCCCAGGAATTCCATTGCAAGAAAGCCATCAATGGCATGCAATTTTGTTTCCTGCAAACAGATAATCTGCGGTTTTGTTTTCTGTATCATTAGCTTTACTGCTTCCCTTCTTGCCCCACTGTTTAAGCCTCACACATTCCAATTGAAAATTTTTAGGTTGCTTTCATCCATTCCATGAACCGAAGAGCAACAGGGGAACACACATTGCCAGCAAGCCCACAATCCATTCAGCAAGTTAACAACATACAGAACTTCTGCCACTGCCAAACAACAGGATGACAGCCAGCTTGACATACAGACACAACTTCTACATAGCTGAGCCATCTTCTTCAACCACATGACAACACATACTGGAAATAAACCTAACTTGACCGGTCGAGTACCGGTTGGCGCTGGCACTAAACTAACACACATTGATAACTGAGGCAACAACCTCCCTGTCTGCTGCAGTGATCATCCACTGAACCTCCATGTCAGCTGCATCTGCCTCCTTCGCCAGGGCTGCAAGGACCTTGGCCAGCTTCTTGTTCCCCATGCGAGTCGCCGCCCTGATTGCCTTGACTGCGTGCTTGGGGAGGTCATCACCATACATGTCAACATAGGCTGTCACAGCTGCATCAGGCTCGGTCTCCTGGGAGTTGAGGAAGTCCAGCTCGCGCATCAGTTTCTGCTGAGCGCGCTGGGACACCGGCACTGAGGATGGCTCGGCCACCAGTCGCATGCTGGATCGCTTGGCCTCCATCGTCTTCCTCTGCCTCACAGTACGGGTGGATGCCGGGCGTGGTGGAGACACGGCCGGCGCGGGAAGCAGCGGGTCGGGGATGTCGCGGAACAGGCCCCTGCAGATGTCGCTGCTCTGGTGTCCTCCCCCTCCACGGAAGGCCGCAGTAGAGGCGCCGAGGTCCCTCCCGCCGGCCACCGGCAGGCTGTCCGCCGGCGTGGGGGCATCCACCTGCGCCGCCGCAGCCGTGTCGATGTCCATCCGGGTGACATGGTCGGAGATGTCGTCGACTTGGCCGTCATCCGAGAACCTGGCCGAGTCAGGCGACCCGTTCTGCCCACGGTGGGCCGCCTCGATCTCGTGGGCCACTGGGTCGTCAAGCTGGACCCCTGGCCCGAAGACCACCTCCTGCTGGACTGGGGTGGGCCTTTGCTGTTGCATTCGGCCCGTGTACCACAGATCCGAGACCGGCACATACACCGGGGAGCCGTGCGCCGCGTCGCCTCCATCCATCGCCATCAGGCGAGCAGCGGGGCTCTGTCTCAGCGGAGGTCCAGGAACGGTGAGATTCCTGCAGCATGGGGTCGTCCTCCTGACGACAGTAGCCATCCATCTCGACCGGGTCACAGTAGAAGTCAGCAATGGGGTCCGAGCTCACCGGGAAGTGTCGCTGGCGAGCAGGGGAAGCCCAGGAGCGCCCGTAGGCAGGCGGTGAGCGGGAATGGCGACGTTCCCAGTCGTCGGTGGCGTGCAGCAGGTAGCCCCTCCCACGTGTTGACCTTGAAGGCGAGCGAGCCCAGCAACGCCCCCATCCAGTGGTTCTGCATCCATCGCTCCTGCCTGGCGATAGGCCGGGGGCGAGCGCGTGCGCACTCGGACCGAGCGATCAGAGGAGCAACCGGTGAAGAGCTGCTCTTGAAGCCGTTGTCGTCGCGGGGCCGCGGCCCACGGGTGTCGTTGTCGTGGTCGTGGTCTCGGCATGGTGGAGGGGGGTGGAGCACGACAGTCCTGCTACCTCGCTCTCGCCTACGTCGGCGGGCGACCATCGAGCACACCAGGCGTCCAGGGGAAAGGGATGAACTCCGGCCCCGAACTGCCATGCTCCGATTCCGATGAGGTCCCTAAGCTCGCCACGTCCGGGCTTCGTGCACGCCAGTCTTCATAGCCAGCCAGGTGGATGAGGATCGCCTTCTCGCCCAGCTTGCCCTTAGGCGGAACAGGCGGGACGGCAAGCCCATGCATCTCCAGAGCTTGGTCTGCCCGAGCTGCGAACAGATCATCAGGATCTTGGCAGATCATCAGGATCCTCCATCCACACCTAGCATGTCAGGAACTCCAGTGTGGCGCGCGCCAACGTGCGGCTATCCAGTCTGTCCAGGATGTAGCAATCTCCCAGGATGAGTGACTCCTTCGTTCCAAGCCTCAATGGGGACGTTCTCCATGGTGATCTTGGCATGGAACAGCCATGTGGTCTCCCTAGGTCCACCCGATGGACGCCACGGGCGAATGGGAAGAACGGTCTCGCCGATCTCGATGAAGCTCTTGAGGAAGGCGCGGTCGTGCTCTGGCGAGGCCTTGAAGTCCGCCAGGAACACGCCCGGCTTGAGGGGCGCGACGTGGAAGTTTCCCCGCGCCACGTGCAGCTGGTTGGACAGAGCGTATCCCACCTCGCTGATGCTGGGGCTGTAGCCCCCCGGCGGCATGACGATGGTGACCGCATGGAGCATCAGGCGCTTGGCCTCGCGGGTCATGGCCTCGCCGGACGCCAGGACGACCGAGCTGCGCGCCGGGCGGTTCAGAGCGTGCCCCGGAACGTTCTCCATCTCCAGGGAGGCTGCTGGCGATGGGCGAGGTGGCTCAGATGTGTTCGGCGGGTTGCTATGGAGGGGCGGAAAGACAAGGCGGCTGTGGATGCTTTCAGGAGGGAACACGAGGCGGTTGCGGAGTTTGGTGGAGATGGGGCGGCGGCGGTCAGGCGATGGAAAGGTTAGGCGACTATGGATGGGTTGGCGGCGGCGGGAGGGGCAGAGGCGGGAGATGTGTCTGACGCCGTTGCACCGAAGGCACCGGACCGGATCTCTGCACTGCGCTACTCGATGGTCGAGGCCGAGGCACCGATAGCAACGCCATGCGAGTCGCCTTTTAAAGGCCCCCGGGTCCGCCATGGAGGTGTCCCGAGCAGAGACCTCAGCCGGCCGTCTAGCTCTCCCGGAATCCGTCGCCTGCTCGGCTGCATCCTTACGCCACCAGTACTTTGTCCTCGCTTTTTGCCAAGATGGTGAAAGTGGAGTCTCCAGAGGAGCATTAACGCCCGAGCTCTCTCCCATCTCCCAGCGGCTGCTAGGAGGGGAGTAAATGGCCTTCCCCTTCGGGCAGGCCGGCGCCTTGGAGCGGTGAGGCGTCTGCGGCACCGGCCCCTGTGCGGAAGCTCCCGTCAGCACGACTTGCGTCCATACTGTCTTCCGACGGCCAGCAGGCGCAGCGGCAGTCGTCGGCGCCCTCGATGGCCGAACCAGGATCGATTTGAGCCTGGCCGGCGTCTCGCGGGACTAAGTTTAGATCCCACCCAAAATCCAAAATTTTTTAAGATTCTCTGTCACATTAAATCTTGTGGCACATGCATAAAGCATTAAATATAAATAAAAAGAATAACTAATTGCACAGTTTGCCCGTAATTAGCGAGACAAATCTTTTAAGCCTAAATAGTCCATAATTGGACAATTTTTACCAAATACAAACGAAAGTGCTACAGTAGAAAAAAAACCAAAAATTTTCACATCTAAACGGGGCCTAAAGTTTAGTCCGTGTCACATCGGACGTTCGGATGCTAACTAGAATGACTAAATATGAGCTAATTAAAAAAATAATTACACAAGAGTAGACTAATTTACGAGATGAATCTATCCTTAGACTAGATTTTAGTCCATGTCCCATCGAATGTTTGGACACATGCATGAAGTATTAAATATAGATTAAAAAAATAACTAATTACACAGATTACGACTAATTTGCGAGACGAATTTTTTAAGCCTAGTTAGTCCATGATTTGATAATGTGGTGCTATAGTAAATATGTGCTAATGATGGATTAATTAGGATTAATAGATTCATCTCGTAAATTAGTCTACTCTTGTGTAATTAGTTTTTTAATTAGCTCATATTTAGTCCTCCTAGTTAGCATCCGAACGTCCGATGTAACACGGCCTGGATCCAAACACCCCGGGCTCCGAGCGGGTGAGCACGCCTTCCAACCCGGTCACGTGTCCGCTTGCCGATCCGCCGGATCTCGACGGAGAGGGCGTGGCAGTCGAGGTCGCTTCAGATGTTGGTCCTGCTGCCGATTCCGCGTGCCTGCTCCGTAGATCCGGTGACGTAGCTCCCTCCTCTGCTTCCATGGCTCCAGGGGAGCCTTCAATGTCGACCGCGTCGTCAGCCTCATCCCAGTCAAGGAGCTCCACCTCTTCGAGCTCCTCCGATACCGCGGCGTGGGGGGAAGTGGGGTCGATTGGCTGGGGCAGGTATGGGCTACGCACTGTGGCGCAGTGGTCTGGGTGGCTGGGGGGCTGGTGGACGGCGGCGGGGGGATGGGGGGCTCTCGCTCACCGGGGCACTCGCTCATTTCGAATTCCTTGATGCAATGGATTCCCTTCCCTACCCTGCCTTGCTTTGGAACAGCTACCTGCCAGTGCCACGATAATCAAAGTGTAGGAACTCCATCCTTGGAAGAGTTCGGCAGGACTGAAAAATACTGTTTCGGCTGATTATTGTGACAGAAAAATACTGTTCTGATAAGACGTAAACAGTGATTTTGTGAGGTGGCTGGTCAGCCGGCAATCAGCCAGCCGAACACGGCCCTTATCTCATTTGATTGATACCGTGAGCTCTCGTGTCCCTTTCTGCGCTCTCAGCTGAACAGTGGAATCTGGAATCTGGTGTTCAAAGCGAGCAACATCACTGTTCCATACAAATCACTGTACATGAAGACAGCACATTGCACACGTCAAGAGAAACAAATTGGCGCCGTTCGCTGGTCTGATTTGTTCAGACCAGCCGGCTGGTTGTCTCACCGATCACTGTGCATTTTTCAGACACTTCCAGTCGCTACAATGTTTCTCCCTCACAACAACCAGGCAGTTTCAGCCAAGTTTCAGACCAGCGAACGGGACCAAAGGTTTCGAATGAACATAGCATATCTGGTGCACATATGTAACTAGCCGTCTAGGAATGGATACTGAGAACCACAACTGTAAGGACCAAGGAAAGAACCACTCCTATATATCCCTATTATTTACCATATTCGTAACAAAAAAAAGGTTCATAGACAAGCACCCAAGGAAATATCATAGCGTTCAGCGAAACTAATACGTAAGGTTGATCTGCCTAAAAGCTAGAGTATATATATACTCAAGCTACAACTAAGACCTCATTTTGGCAAGGCTCTTAGAGCACATTTGGCTCCTATTCTTACAAACCTGAACTAAGACATCAAGTCTTCTTTCAACTAGCTCGCTCCTCTCCCTTCTTGGTGCAAAATACCATCCCTAACCCTGCGCCCTCTTTTTTTTTTTTTTTTGAGCAAGGCTTCAAGGCCGGCGTGGGAAATGCTGTCGCCGACCTTGTGTGGCGACTGGTGTGAGGCCAACCGTGTGCCGCCCACCCAACGAGCTAAACCTTAGGCCTAGGCATGAAGTTGGGTGCAGTTAACCACACCGTGCCGGCCCAGTAGGCCGTGTCTCAAAAAAAATCTTGGCAAAAGAAAAGTAAAACAATTAACAAAAATCACATGTTTGCATCTTCCATCTCCACAGATCAATCAAGCATCACAGATGACAGATACATCACACAAGCCACAAATCAATCACAAAATCAAAGAAGTTGTTTACACCAAAAATTGATAAGTTTTTCCTACAAAGAAAGAGATCGGCCGATGATGTAAAAAAACAAAAACATTTCCTAAATAAGGGATATTTCATGGCCAAGATGTTGATCTGTTGTAGAACGCAGCTTTGGCACATGCATAGGATCGATTCAAAAATCAGATGTGATTGCCAATGCTCAAGAAGGAAAAGAAATATTATATTTTATTTAGATGTTGTCACGTATGCAGGAGGCCACGATGGAAATATAGCTTCCAGAAGAAAACTTGGTTACGGAAAGCACGAGATCTTGGCCTGTACTACGGCAGCAAAGAGAAGAAAGATTATTTAGTTGATTCCAATTGCCATACGAGCTGAGAACCAAATCAATTTATATTTACCCACCAATATTCTTAGATTGTATTTCCATCTTTATTTTTGAGTCTTGCTTGTACACGGCAAAGACCAGCCGACTCGTGTGTGTCTATATATATATATATATATATATATATATATATATATATATATATATATATATATATATATATATATATATATATATATATATATATATATATATACCTATTGTAAAAAACACAATTAATTAAATACAAAGTCAATTACTTTTTTCGGCTCTGGCCATCCCTTAGGAGTAGGAGTAGAGTAGATCTCGACGAGCTCTTCAGCAAGTACGGCTGCATCGATCCGGTCGACCTCCACTGCTTGTATGTAAGTACCGTCATGGTTTATACCTCTGTTCGTATTGCTGCATCGATCGGGTCGACCTCCACTGTGACTCTGGTATAGGCTAGTTATCGACTCTTGTCTAATTCAAGCATAGCCTGTGTGATTCTGCCTCACACCCCACTGCTTGAATTAGATCAAGATCAAGTTATCGGCTCTACCTCAGTATGGCAGTCTTTGGTAGATTCATTAAGTTACCGATATTACTTATTGCTTTCATTATTTATTTAACTACAGCAATATCACTCTGCCCAATTGAGATTGATTTGAATCGGCCTTATATCTTTTTTAACTCATCGTTTGCTAATCTAAAACTGATCTAATCTACATCTTAAGCGATGAGTTATGTTTTATCGGCTGTTTTACGTCAATCTTAATCGTGCATAGCGTGTGGTTAAGGCATGTTCGATCTTGAGTAGATCTATTAGTTAATGAAAACCGTTCTATGGCCTGTTATCACGGCCTGTGGGATTCTGCCTCTCACCCCACTATTGGCACCGGGAGTGGAGATTGTTAGTTGGTAGACCCGTTCCTAAGAAGGCATAACCTTAACTGTGCGTTATGTCTGAATCGACTGTTTAGCCGATATCGAATGCTTTCACGAACAGTTCGCATTATGAGATCATTGAAGTAGAGATAAGTTGAAAGATATGTTAGCCTCATGATCTTGTTATTGTATTACAGCCTGCATGATTCTGCCTCATGCCCCACTGATATTAGTAATGAGTTAGGATCGTCGAGTCTATTGTTGTTTCTACGGCCTGTATAATTCTACCTCATGCCCCACCGGTCATGACGATAGATGAGATCTAACCTGTTCATTAGATTTATCTTTATTAGATGGTTAAGTGACGTTGAATTGTCTCTTTACATAAAAAGGAGTTCAGTTACTTATAATCATTGGCTCAGTACAAACCGATCGTCATTGATATCCTTATTGTCATTGATAAATTTTTTGCTCGAATTGTATTCATCCTGGATGATAACCGATTCTTTTTACACAACCCCATGAGCTTTAACCGATTGATTCTTATGAATATGTTGGAATCGACTATTTAGTCGATCTCCTCTCATATCGGCTCTCAGAGCCGCACATTCGGGACTGTCTGGCAACACCGGCACGTTCCGCCCTTAATTACTGATAAGCTTTCTCTCCTGGTCAATGCAGGGTCAAATTGACTGGCACGTCTCGGGAGGATTGCGCAAGATCGACCACCCTTGCGCTGAAGCTAGGCGGATCTGCTCCATCGAGCGGACCCTTCCGGCTTGCTGCTTGTGTCCTCAGCACGGAGACGAAAATTCTATGTCGACACACGTTTCTGGCACGTCCGATGGAACCATAATCGTTTGATTGGAAGTTAAAGCTTTTTGGATATTCTATTAGCTTCTAAATCATGATGAAGCTGAATTTTTCATCTACAACAAAAGCCCGATGTCAGAGTTTATTCGGCCATCTACCAAGGCATTATCCATCAAGACCTCAACATCTGGCATCAACGGATGACAAGTCAAGCTCCAAGACCAATTTCAACTACATCTGAAAATCACCAATCCTGATTAAAAACAGCGAGCAGCTGAATCTCAGTTGCCATTGCCGAGCGAATATGCTGCATGTTCGTTTGGCTGTGGCTTATCGTAAATGATCGTAAATTTCCAGCCGAAACAGTATTTCTCTCTCACACAAACCAGCCAGCAGTATTTCTTCACGAACCAGCAACGAAACGAACC